TGGGATGTACTCCAATAGTAGGTTAGGTTAGGTATAGATGGTAAAATGGTGATAATTAAAGCCTATATATTGAATTACTATAAACCTGTCGGTGGCATTCATTAGTTAACTGTTAAATGATATAATAATATCAACCAGACGATCATGTTCGTTGTGACCGTAAAATAAAGTAATTATGAAGTCAGCGATACGACAGCTACATAATTATTATAATATTGTCTCTTCTGCGAATCAATAATTTGTACATTTTTTTTCGAAACAGATTAATACAGACCACACATCATTACTTGATAAAGTCATGATGAATAAGAAAGCTTTTAACAGTTGATATTATTCGTTGAACATTTGAAACACAAGAGTATGTCTAAGAGTCTCCGAGACTAACAATTTGAACTTTTAACATAGCTCTCTAACCGTCAAATAAAACGTAATTATTATAATTTTATTAGTTTTAAATCAATATAAATTTTTTATTTTGCATAGCAACTTATCCAAACAATTTTTACAGGACAAGCCGAATAGACTAGAACAAATTTAAGCAAACATTGGCGCAGGCAGTAATGGATATCTCAACAATTGTTGAATGTTAAATTTAAAAAAAAAATCACCTTGTCCGCTTTTCATATTTCACTCGATTAAATATGACTTATCTCGGATAGACAGCGACCCGGTATGTGTCATGTGTATTATATGCATGCCATTTGTACCAAAGTACATTTAGACTTAAGTTTATATACTTTTTAAGATTTTCGAAGCGTTACACTAAAATGTCATTCACTACTTTAATACCGAAGCCATTAGGAACCAAACTTTTGTCAGGCCAGTAGACCAGATAATATTTCTTAAGTTTTTTTTTTAATTCTCAGTGATGCACTTTTGCTATTATCACTGGTTTGTGTCATGTATAAGTGAATGTTTTTTATTAAATGTAGTTTTTGATTTTATCTGAGGGAGAAAAACGTCGAACGTCGTGATTTAGGGCGGTAAAAACTCAAATTCGGGCAGTCTTCTTAGAAGACTCTTCTATGGTGCGATTCGGTCGGACCGAACGCGGTACCTAGTTACATGGATTTTGGTAATGTCTTGAATTTAGGCAAGTATAAATCACACGATATTCCGGCCCGCGGTAGTTGTGCAATCGTAATAGCAGTAGGTATTATTATTATTATTATTATTATTAGTCGCAGCAATAGTAGTAATGATAATAATATAATCGAATATTGCCGGCAAATAGGTATATAATATAGTAAAAAAACGGTAGTCTTGCACCGTCGGCTCACGAAAACTCCATTATTACCATGGTCGGTTGTTATTACAGTAAGTTGTAGTCGTTGTTGTTGTGGTGGTTATTATTAGCCATTAGCCGGTTGTGCTGTGCTACGTGTACACGATTATGATTATTATATGCACAGGCCGCGGTGGCGTTTGATTGTTCACGATTTATTAGTGCCCGTCCGTCGTTGTTCGCGGCATTAATAATTGAAAATCATTAAGACCCCGTAATAGGTTATTATTATTATAAACACATGTTTCGGTATTCTTATTATTATTAAAATATCTCTGCCCTCTGCGCCCTCTCTGGCTGTCTTTCTCTTTCTCCCAGGCGCGCACTTAACACACACACACACACACACTGGTCAGTCTCGGCCGTCGTCTGGTTGACAGACTCGTTTTCATCGATACGCTATTAATCCTAGCCCCGATCATTATCTCTCTCCTATACACTATATACCCGTTCTTCCCATGATAATAATAATATAATATACAACCCATCGCGACAGCCCGTTATGATGTTCCGTTCCACGAGGAAAAAACTATTTATTAAATATATCCTAGATATGTATATATGTATATATACATACCAAAAATTGTGATAATAGGCCCCGAGATTTGGTACACCTCTTAAGACGTGTGCGCGGTATTCGCTGGTCATCGGCCGCCGCCATATTATGATTATTATTGTTATTATCTCGACGACAAGCTTTCGTTTATGTACCGTCTATGTAATAATATGTGCATGTATAGGTATAAAATTATAGGTAATGGATCTATCAAGAGGACCGCGCGTACAGTTAAAAAGAAACCAGTTGCGGGTCTATTTATCGTCGCTTCAGATCTGTTTTCCAGGCGCATAAATACTCTCTCTCTCTCTCTCTCTCTCTCTCTCTCTCTCTCTCAGTGCACAGATAATGGTTATTAATTAAGTTTATGTACGGTTATGAGCAAGGGATATCATGGCGTTGTTTAGGGCACGAGGTTGGAGACGCGACTATAAACCGTGCGGATGTGGGACGCGCACGGTCGTTTAGCTATTAGCCGGTGTATTGACCTATGCTGACAACAATTATTATTAGTTATTACTTTAGACAAAGAAATCATAGGTCAACAAAATTTAAAACGTACGAGAAAGTGAACAAAAAATATCGTAAAACAAAATACCAATTAAAACAACATTGCGTGACATCTGTCTGGTGTTTGTTTTGATATTATGCAAATGTTTAACGTTTTTAACAATTATTACAATACATTGTATTTATTATCAGTGTTTATTCGGCATACCATAATTGTTAACGTCGATACATTAACTAATGGACCGCGTTTATAACCAGCCTGTCATAAAATGTATATATTTGTATTTGACGTGTTCAGGCAACATCCAATAACACGCACAAAAAACAACTGCAAAACCGTTCAGTTCTTGATAATTTCATCATTAAATGAGATAAAAATCTGTTAAAACTAAAGTAATGTATTAATAAAACGAAAATCACTTTATGTACTATTCAGATAAAAAGCGTAGTAAAAAATTGGAAGGTCTTATACTAATAGTCAATAGACGGTATTCGGGTGGTGCAGCCACGGCTATCTACATCTGTACTGTAAAATCGATGGTATAATATAACAAACTTTTTGCTATCTTACTACTTCAATAATCGTCTCGGTCGTACGGTAGGTATACCATGTCCGACTGGCTTTCAAAACAGTGTATAACACAACCAGTGAGAAAATCAAGAGATCCAACTTGAAGATGTACGATGACATGTTGGATTTCGCCGGTTTTTTTATTTTTATTATTTTATTCCCGGGCTACCCAATTCAAACGCGGTATTAATATAGGTGATATATATCAATAAAAAAGCGTACAATAATAATTGTCGCGTGCAATGTTTGGTCGACACGGATGTGTATTTTCCGGGTCGACCCGGTTTGTAGTTATTTCCAACAAAAACGTTATGCAAACACGAAACAATGTGATAAAACAAAAAACGTTATTCTACCAACAACGTCGGACACCCGACGTGCGCGCAACGGACAGTGACTAATTAACGAAAAATCGTTGTTTGACAGGCGATTTCCCAAATAGTATTATGTTATATTAGCACAATCTTGTCGGCCGCACGTAAACGGTAAACCGGAGGCGCTATCCGCAAGGAGCGACCGTGTCATCATTATCTTTGTAGTCGATCTGTGCCGCGCGAATAAGCAAACAACAACTGCCACCGTTGGACCGCGTGAGTTATATCTCCCTGTCGGATCTCGGCACCGATATGTTTTGCATAAGTACGTCGGTGAATTTCGGATGGATTAAATATTATTAATATACTAATAGAGTTTTTTTTCTTTGTGATAATAGTATGTAGCGGTTGCCGTTATACTATAATAATAAAAACGAAAAGAAATGTATAGTATTATTGAAAAAAAAATTGTATAAATAATAGCCTAAAAAAACTATTCAGGCCCGCTAAACGTTGGCGCCTCTGTCAAAACGACGCTTGATAGACAGCCAAATGTGTGTTTAGGCACCGGCGGTGGTTGTGGTGGTGGTGGTGGTGGAGGAGTAAAAGAATTACTCGCTGTGTGTGTGTGTGTGTGTGTAATCCTATGTAAGACCGCAGCGAGTGTATATAAGAATTTATAATAATATATATTATAAGAATGCACGCGCGTGGGATGGAGATCCGATACCGAATTCCCAATCGAATATAAACATGTTCGAAAAGCCGACGGATTCAATTTATTCAAATCGTTTAACCGCGCACAATACCGGCTGATTTATCGACTTAGGCCTAGGACATGCGGTCCTAGTTAGGAGATAACCTACCGTAACCCCCCCCCCCCCCCGAAATGTGCAAATCAGCAACAGCTGGCGAGTATGTTGTACATGAATAATGCGGGCATTAGTAATATAAACATATTATACGATACTTATTATTCGCCAAGATGCTATAATAGGTACGTTATTATAATTATCTGAATTAATGTAGTATAATACTATTATAATATTGTCGAATGAATTGGTCTCTCGTTTTCTACACAATGGCGCTTTTGTATGTTATTATATTTCCATATTAAATATAATGTTAGACCATAACTCATCGCGGCGACATATTAAAATAACATATTATTCGTAGTTGTTCTTTCACATTAAAATATGCACGTTAAATATTGTTATTTCGCTGTTGTCGTTTTTTTTTTCAATATTATTTATATTTTGCATAGTAAACGGATGTTGTTATCTCCCGGTTTAGCGTTCGCCCGATGTCCGATCCATCATACCGCCAGTGTTCGTCTCGCATCATCAATGATATATGTTTTGCCTAAGCAAAACGCCGGTCAATTCGCCAGACCCGTATTTCTTACTTGTTATTGTTTACTTGGTTCTTATCTCTTATTTTACATTACTCGTACACCAATAATTAAGACAGCAATACGGACTGCGCCCTCGTTTAATTCATGAATTAAGAAGCGACAATTGTTATTATTCGAATTTTGTTTTAAAAACTATATGCTTGTCGCGCCAAAAAAGAAATTACACGATAATATATTAATGGTTATTTCTTTCGAGATTAAAGTAATAGTAATGTTGTACAATACACACGTGTCACGTCTTACTCGCTCAGTGACAATGCCAGTAAACCGTCCCCGTACGGTTATCAAACCCATGCATGTATATTGTGTACCAAATTTTAATGTACTGATTTGTTTGTTGTCTGTTTTAGGTTAACAAAAATAATCCAGAGTGCTTTCGTTCTATTAATGGTGAGTAACTATCGCACAATTGTTAATTAATAAAAAATTTTAAAAATGCTTGTCAAAAACGGTCAATTCATAACACGAAGTCACGCTTTAATACACTTTTTTTTTTACCGACCACGATATTATGTAATTATATTTTTACAGTCGGTATTTGAAAACTTTTGCCTTACTACTAGCAATACTGTGATTATCGTAGCGCTTAAAAAGTGATTGTAAATATTAAAAACAATTGCTTCGAGAGAACGTAACGGCAATGACCTATTGCTGTAGAACAATATTTCCATTGAGCGTGACAAATGTATCGGCCGTGCCGTCGATGGTAAAAACTGTGTATGTTTATTATTTGTTTCAAATTCTTTAGTCCACACTCGAATCATGCGCGGCCGCAGTGTCTATATCATATTATAATAACTTCCCAATAACACGGAAAAAAATATTAAATTGGTCGTATTAAAATTGTGGTTAACATAGGGACACAATACATTTCTAGTTGGGATAACTAAATGTCTAGTTGGCCCAACATGATCAACTAGACATTTATTGTGTCGCTATATTAACCGTAATTTTAGTTGGACCAGCTATGCGTTTTCTATGAAACCACAGTACCCCGGACGGATTTAAATTTTTTATGGGGTGTATAACATTTAAAAGAAGTTAGCAACCGCATGTACCTACCTATAATTTCCCGGCGGGTTAACGTGGTAATCGGATGAACGGCGGCAGCGCTTTGATAAATCACACGTTACATTTTGTTCTTTCTGGTGAAACTAGTCGCCGTCCGTAATTTTGGGCAATAAAAAAAAAACAAAAAAGAAGTTATTAACCCGTGTAATATTATACGGAACGCCCGGCGTATAAGTGGGTAAAAAAATATATATATAATGAGCCATTGACGTTGAGCGGTCGATCAAAAGTTTACGACCGTTAAAAAATAAATTTCCGGTTGTGAAAAAAAAATATTATTGTTGTTGTGCGTTCGTCTAAAATCGAATTCTACAAAATACCTCACAGTGTCGTTATCGTCACCGTGGCGTCAGTATTTACAAACCAGTCCCTATTAATTAGTAGTAAATACCTAACCCGTCTTGTTTTGGTAGCCTGTTGGCCAGCATCTGCGAAATAACCCATAAATTCCTAGTTCAGCCGGAACGTTATACCTATAACGTGCGTTTGAGCACATTACTGTTGGTTAGCAGTAGTGGCTGAACTTATAAATATTATAAACTTTATTTTCTAAACATCAAACATAAATAGTATTGTACATCAACGAAACAGATTATAGAAAATGTTAATACTTTTATTATGTTCACATAATTTGTATATAAAGTAAAAGTTATATTTTGAAAATGCTGTTAATATTTTTTTACTGTTTAAGGCCAAATCGACTATTTTGAAAGTACGTTTTCGATATTTTTGAAATTGTAATTTTATACTATGCCGTCTGAGCTATGTGTGTGTGTGTGTAAACTGACATAACGAATAATTCTGACAAATGCATCAACACTATTATAAAATAAGCATTTGTTTATAGACCACCTAAGATCACAATATGGTAAATTTGTGGAAATTTAATATTAAAGCATTGCAAGTAACCGGCAAGCGACCCACATCGTTACAATAATAATTATTATCTAATGATACCGAAGTTTGCATGTCTATGAATTTTTTTATGACTGTATAATATGAAATATCGCATATTGGATTTGGCGCGCCGCGGGACACAGTCGTCGCCTTCTCCGGCGATCTGCCAAGGCATGACAGGCTCCTATATTATGCGAGACATTGTTTTTTTGTTTAGTAAGTAATAATAAAATATGAAGGGGAAAATGCCAGCATAAATTATAATCGTAAACGGAGGCGGCGGCGTTTCGGGGAAATCAAGTGAAATAATATTGTTGTTATTACGGTCATGTTCCGGATAGTGGAAATTTATTACCGTTTCTCCGCCGGTGTCCGCAATCCGGCATCGTGCATACGATTAGTATTAGCACAAGTCGTAAAAAACACAAAAATAAACAAAATACTGTTGTGGAAACACACGTGGAATTTGAGAACTCATTATCGTCTAATGGCAAATATATTATGCACTGCCCAACCGTAGACAGGCGGTATATATATAGAGAGAGAGAGAGTGACAGAGTGAAAGAAGTCTGCGACGAGTTAAGGCACACGCGCCCGTCAGCCCATTTACGGTGTGTTGAGAACGCGCGCACACCCTTCGAGAATGATAAAAACAAAAATTAATTTAAAAAAAACCACCGACAGCCTAAAGATGAATGGTTTTGAACGGAAATTTTCATTAGGAAATTTACTTATCAGCTTGTCGTTTCTCTAACCTTTCTTGCCTTATTCAGTTTGATGTTTGCTTATTTTTCTCTTGGCTAAATTAAATTTCTAATTCTGTCTTATATTACTATATTCTTTCTTTATTTTGCTTGCTATTGTTAAAATAATCCCGAATTTATATTTTTGTCCAGCCTAAAATAATTCATTTCATTCTACTAAATCCGTCCACTATATCATTTTAGCCACTTACACCAGTGTTGTTATTCATTAAACAATATGTATTCTGCTATTGATATTTTTTACAATATTTGTTTGTACAGATTTATTTAGTTTGGGCTTACCGATAAAGACGTTGCCACCGTGGTGCTCTTCCGTTGGCTTTAATGTTTATTTGCAACGTTTATAAATTTGAATTAAAACGTTGTTATTTCAATTACCGTGTAGTTTATATTAGATCTAGAATCAAATTGTAAATTTGTCAATAAAAAAAACGACGTCAATAAAAAGACCACGAATTTGAAAATTCATAATGTTTGAAAAAACTTACGAATTGACTCGTTTAAATAGGTAAATTTTACGCTTCAAAGCAGTCGACCATCAAAATTATGAGTTCTAATTGATAAGGTTAAACGAGTAGCATTTTTATCACATTTTTATGGGTAAATAAATTCTAACACATTAAACTGGTTTAGATAAAATGCTCAGACTAATAGTCTTAGATTATATTTTATGTGTATTCAGTATTGATTTACAATTCGATAACCACAACTACTAAATTGGCAAAAGTATTTTAATATTATAAAAATATTTCGTCATCGACTTTTACCCAGAAATTTGTCGTATAAATATTAACAAAATACATTAAAAAAACATTTTGCTTAGACAGTAATAATTGTAAGACATTAAATTTCTAGCCAAAAAAATTGTTTTCCCATATTTTTATTTATTCATCTGTGATGGTTTGCCAATAAATTTGGTAGGTACAACAAACCAGGTTCGTGAGAGAGTTTCCCGTTATAGATTTTAACTTGTGAATGTCAACCGGACATTAACAGCTATAAAGTTATTATTATAATTATTATCATCTTTAAACGCGCGGTGGATTGTAGACGACGCGACGGTACCACTGCTGCGTTTGTTGTCGCATCTAAAAAGAGAAAGAGTAGGTACTTAAAAAAACACACACGGACAATCAATTACTGCATTTGTTTAGATAGATGCCTACACGCGCCTTTTATTTTTATTTTTTAACAGCTGCTTCATACGTGCACACAAGGTGCCACAAGTTCCGTTTTCTCAATCGGGCGTGTGCCGTCTCTTGTTATCTCTGACCGTGCGTTTTTTATTGCTATAAAATGTTTGTTGCCGCATACGTCTTGTTGAACTGGAGAAGCAACCGTACTGATGAAAGCGCTGTGCGTGAAATAATATTGTATAGTTAGTTTGGTTTTTTACTTTTCAAAAAAAAAAACGGTACTTAACCGCCAAACGGGAGTGGTGGGGGGGGGGGTTTCTTTGATATCAAAACTCGTGCACGGATTTTAATTACTATAATGATAATCGAAATACCGGTACCGTCGTCGGCTGGTCAAAAGCAGCAGGGAAACTGTTAACCGAGGACCCTTAACCGGTAGGGCGTGTGCGACCGTTTTTATAACTTGTAATTACCGCCGGCTTCTCTGTAACTCGAACCGCCGACGCCTTCGACCGACAACAACCGGAAGAACAAAAAAAAAATAACTCTGACGCGTTTATAATATTGTTGTATAAAATGTGTATCACGTTAATTTATTGTTATTCCGGGGCTAGTAAAACTAATTATAATTCGGTATGGACATGTCCGCGCTCCGAATAAAAAATAACATTGAAACGTCTTGATCGTGTAGACCTATTTTTCGACTTTTAAGTGTAAATATATTGGTTCGCGTGATACGGGCCATTTTTAATTGGGAAGCGTACGGAGCCGGTCTACACGCAATCCAAAATTCTTTATCGTTATAATATAGTTTATCATTATTATTATTATAGGCGGCCACTATATGTGTAATTGAACTGTGTGTTCCTTTCGTTTCTCTTTCTCTCTCTCTCAATCCACGACCGGGATAAAAGACAAGAGTATCTACCTATATAATATACATATTCTTGTAATTAACTGGCGACGGGTTGGTGGTGCCTATATTGTGCTGCGTCCATTAGGGCCAAGACGACGTGTTTCGTTAACGAGAAATTTAGTAGAAGTCACAAATTATACGTACGGCGGTATGCTATATGGGATCGGTTTCATTTGCAGAGTAATGTTATGACGGGTTGTCGGCTCGTGTGATAGATTTGTTTTTTTATTAGAAAACGATTGATCGATAACGACGACACGTATAAACGACGTCTTCGCGTAAGACGCCCGTGAGAAACTTAAACGCGCAAAGTGCTCACGACGGTGGTGGTGACTTGCACGTACTACCGATACACTTTAATCGGGCGGTCGAGATGCTGGCCGGGATAAGCAAAGAGGTTTCCGATCGTCGGAATTTCGAATGTAAGTTTTATACCTATTATAATAATAATAATAATATATGCACCGACGTTCTACTTACAAAGCCGTCGTCTTTGTATCACAATTATTATTTTCAAACAGATAACGCGCGCCGCCGTTCGTGAAACCCACATAACGAGCGGCGATGGGTCGTGATACTGTCGTGAAACTTTTATAATCGTTTTCAATATATATTTCACAATATTTAAAGCTGCGGTAGCAAATACGAGTAGTAAATAACTATCGAAACTGACTGATTGCTCTCACGCCACGATTTAACATACTTAATACGGTTGCCCGACGGTCAACGACGACACTCTCATCATTGCAAGGCAACGGAGTCATTCCAAAAAACATCCGTTTCCGTTTAACCGCTAGCGCTCTTATCCGTGATCCAAGATAACAACCAAAAAGTCTCTCCTGGCTCTTAGCGTAGTTTGTGGTACACAATATTGTTCGAACAGCTCGTCACGGCTGGAACGAAACGTTTCGTTTGAAAATTATCGACGTTGTTGTATGCTTGAAACGTCTTATATCATTGCGTTTTTATTTTTGCAGGTGGTGTTGTGCGACATTTGGAAGTGCGGCCCTGGTTGTGGACTCGGGGTCCGACTGTACAATGAATGCAGCAGTCGAAACGTCAGGGTTGACTACCGGGGACGAGTCCTGGCCGACGACGAGACATCAAACGCATTTCGTAAGTTGAACCAATTTGCACTTAAGGAGCTTGCATTTGCATCATGCCATGCCGATCACGGTCCCCAACTTACTATAATATAAGCTATTGTATTCTAATCCGTATAAGACACACGTCTTCAATCTTCAAAGTATTTGGCTCGCTTAGCCGCTGTTAAATGTTATAATCATGTTTGTACGCGTGTTGACGCTTCACAAATTGGAAGAGGTATACCTATAGGTGGCTATACCTACATATTAAGCTCACGTGTATGCCCATGACCGTATTATTTGGACGAGTCGCACTTTCGAATATTAATGGGACTCTCCTCGGCATGTGTGTGTATTTTGATTCTAAAGACAATGTATATCTACCAACTGGTTTGTTTATTGCTCTTGTAAACGGTTCCTATTTCAAAAGCATTACCGTCGTTATAATTATTACTAACGCGACCGCCGCGCCGCCGTCGTCGTCTCCGGTACACGCGATTACACTATACTTAGTTTATTTTTTGTGATTGCGTACGCACACGGTATGTGAGTGTATGTTATAATATGGGACCGTGCGATTAACATACCTAAGTGTGTTTGTTTGCCGCCAAGAACACCGGCTACAGGTCGCCGGGAGGAACGAACTCTCTTGTGCAACCTCAATCCCCAAAGTTCCGACGCGAGTCAACGGCCTATATACATTCGATAAAAAAACCGTTTCTTGGCATTTTCAAAACAACATTTGGTATAAATCTACTTTGCCGGGAACCTGTTTTTAAATCTATAGTATAATAATTGTAATGCTGATCACGAATCTGCAAAAACAATTTATTCACTCTCACTCGGTTCGGAAGTTATCGGATTCGTTATCAGCATACACTATCGATTTAAAAAAAAAACAAATTTAAAGTTACATCTGTAGGCAATATTGACTTAACATATACTATATCTACTTCAGCTGAGAGTCAAAACGCTGTACCTAATCGGCTTCGGTAAAAATATCGTATTATGATTATCTTACAGATATACATAGTATAATGGCCCAATTTTATAACATTACTGACATATTATGTGCTATATTGTCAAAACGTTCTCTGAATTTACATTAGATAATGACAGTTATCAATTATGATAATATATATAAATTATAATTACAATGACAATTAGATATTACACAATTTACATAGGAAATTACATTGTTAAGTATTTCCGATAATTACTAAGAATAATACTTATGTTCAAAATAAATAAATTATACCGAAAATGCTTTTGTTTCTATTTGTCATGTCAAAATCAATTAAAAACTAGGGGACAATGCATTTAACATTATCTTAATTATATTCATTTCGATCGGTTTTACGTTTAGAAGCTTTTACTTAGTATCCGGACATTAGACATGCATTGGACATTTTTTACCTTGACTTGAGTACAAGAGGTTACGTATATGGTTAACTAATTTTTTTTAAGTGTAGTTTTGCTGAAAATTTCGACTGGTTGGTAACCAGTTCTTAGAACTAAAAAATTAGGCCGGAAGGTAGAGTGCGGTTGAGTAATGTGCGCAGATAACATTTTTTTTATCGTTTACCATTTAAATTTCAAATGTTGATAGCTCTTGAATTTTTTTTTAAAAAAAAGGTAAATATTTGGTAATTATAATATATTGATATACTGATATTTTGATTTACGTTATTGTACAGTACTATATTATAGTACTGTACAATAACGTAAATCAAAATATTATTTTCAAATGGTTAAACTAAAAATCTATATTTATTTTCCCAGAAAACGAGTAGTGTCTAACGTTAAATGGGTCAACTAGTATATCTTCTTTCACTAAAGAAAATTTGTTTTCTTAAACTATTGGACGCGATGATAAGTGTATATTTTATAGTTTGCTTTATTAATTAGGAATATAGTACAATAATTATTATTAATTATAGCGCTGTTTAATAAACGGGTGGTTTTGAATTAGATTTTCTGAGTTAAGCGACCAGATTAGGTTAGGTTTAATCAATTTACTCGCGAACACATAGGTGAGAAAATATTTTGTTAACTTAGCCGAGTTGTTTTTTTCTTTGTTTTTAATTGAAATCCGTTGTACCTATCGTTGTATGTTGATCTTGCTCGCGCGAGATGGACAAACAAAGCTTATTTGTATAATTGTTTATTTATTTCGATTATTATTTATGTACAATGTGAGTGTGTATTCTTTTTCATTCGTACATTCCGGCGACTGATCGTGACTGGAAATTCAAAGTAATGCCGTGTTTCTTATGTTTAATACTATTGTTGTAATGCACGCATGTACGTAAATGACAATTATTATCATTACATAACACTTGTGTGCGTGAGTGTTACAAAAAAATATTTACTGCTGTGAAAGGGCATGTTGAATTTACCCATAAAGTCAAACAGATCACACCGAGACGCGATGACGATGATTGATCACTGATTTTACCGTTGGCAAAACCCAACGTTAGTGATTTTATGAGTACAGCGAACCTAGAGTAGTCTGTTTTTTTCTTAAACTTTAATTTCTCAATAAAAAAACCAAAAAATTTGGCCACGAGTAAGTAGATCTGTTAGTCAAATTATCCATTACCACAAATATAGATCCGTCGTCATTTCTTCATTCACTCCACACATTTTCGTATAATTATCTATTTATCGCATTCACTAATTTCTTCTTTATTTGAGTAGGCTAGGATCAAAACTCGCAAGATTTAAAAATCACATTGTTCAGAAAAGGAAAAAAACTGGGAGACGGTTTTTTTAAACATAAAAAAAATCTGTACTACATTATTTTAAAGTAGTTAGATCCGAAAAACTCAAATATGCCATCAAAATATACAAGTGTAGTCGATAAACATTTTTTTTTTTAGAATTAAATTTGGAACGTGTGAGTTTTGATTCTAGCCTATTCATTTTACCTTTACCTATTTTATATCTTCCAAAATAATCTCTTACTTGATTTACTACACAACTTTCCTATCTTCTTTCAACGCGTTAAAACTACCTAAATTACCTTAATCTATTCTCTCTCTATTTTCTTGGTACTGTTACAGCTTTCAAACTACTTCTTGTATGTCTAACCTAGTCATTCCACTCATCTATCCCGACATCATTTGAGTAAATTATTTACTACCCAACATTCACTTCTATACATCATTACTGGCTTCTCTGTTGTGTAGTAAATTGTGATATTTAAATTTTTAATCATAACAACTTGTAATTAAATGTTTATCTATTTTTTTTTTTTTTGCAGAAAATCTGACTGTCAAATCTTTGGACTTCAGCATTCGACTGACGATATTCGCCGAGGAGTCGCGTCGATATCTGTGTTTCAACAACAAATGGTCCCTCGTCGGGTCGGTAAGTGAAAAAAAATTATTTTTGGGTTTAAAGCGTTTGATCAAAGTGCACTCATTATTCTTTTATTCGATAAAATCATTAATTTTCTTTCACTTGATTTTACCTGTACAAAAAATTCAACGGTTACAATTTAATACAGGGTGTGTTAAATCTGAAGTAGTGTCATATACTGTTGGAAAATATATAAAACAAAACAGTTAATAAATTAACCTTAAATTCTTGTGGCCAAGTTGGTGCACGCGCCCCTTCTGAACGTCTTGCACAAATCTAGGGCTGATGTTATTTATGTTACTATAATTTTCGAATTAGGTTTATCTAAAAATACCGTTATTGAGTTTTTCTTCTTTGTTATATATATATACAGTATAATAAACCAATATAATGACATCCGTATCTTATTTGGTATTGTTTTTAACACAAATTTCATAATCTTACAACACTCGAATGTTCGTTTTGCTTTATCTATCCCTCGTTTACCAAGCAAACAATAATTAAAGAATGTCGGGTTAATCCTTTGTCTCTTTTTCTTTTTTATACAACGCACACATTAGGTCGTTACAATGTCAATAAGTTGACTACTCTCTGCACTCGTTTCTATGAACAATATAACGTATTATAGTTTAATGTATTACTTATTATAATAAGACGATTATTAGTCGGTTAGTTTTAAGGAATTTCCCTACAGTCGAGCAATAACCATTGCCTTTAAATCGAATAAAATATGCATTGCAATATACTTTTTTGTCAACATTTTACAAACGCCACCGACTGCAATAAAAAACGTACATACAAGTTATTTTTATTAATGTAAAATAACTTTGATAGTTTACCAGTTTAACAAGCGTTTAATTTATGGATTGTTTTTCTTCAACTTTGCCTACTTTAGTGCCAATAAAAGTTACTATGAAAATAACAAGATGTTGTTCTCGTCGGGTATTAATCGAATTAAAATAAAAATCGTTTAAAGCGCATCGCTACGTTTTCTATACTGAATAACACATCGTTTTATTGTGTTAAGCCGACATATTATTATATACGACCATTAAAGCCGACTAGTGCATTAGTTTTATCGACAAATAAAATAGACGGTCAAGTGTGTGTGGTTGTAAAATTTCATCGAACGTGATAACTAGTATCATTCTTAAAGCGGGTATTGTGGGAAACTAGTACTAGACCATCTAGTTGTGATCCAAAAAAATCGATTGTAATTTACATTCTAAACATACTAAATCAGTATGTTGTATTGAAAAGACTGCTCTCCGTGGGTTAAGAAGCAGGAACTCGGATGGCATGCTGAGAGATATTTTTCCAAATGCATATATTAAATGTTTTCTTGGTAATTCTACTGAGGGCGCATTTAGGTTGATAATAGTTTGAAGCTTAGCCGTTTAGGCTAGCTTAATTTTTTTTACCTTTAAAATTTGCATTAAATTTTACTTTGTTGTTATAAAATTGATACTCAAAAATATCGTAAAACGTTTAAAAAAATGTTTATAAATAGTTACTATAAAATCAATTTATTGGTCTTATACAATTGTAACTACTGGTATATTCTGCAAATATAATGATTTTTTTTTATTTGGAATTAACATACCGTTTTTTATGTTAGTTTGTTTTTTATTTAAAATACCATTTTTAATTTTTCTGGTTGTAATTTTAATTTACTAACTTGTTTTCACAAGTTTTTCTATTTTTATTTCTATTTTGTAAAGATTTAGACACACATTTTTGAAACCGGGTTCAAGTCCTGATTAAGCTCTTTGGTCACTCTTGAATCTAATGAAATTTTACACCATTAAGCAAAAACATGTGTATTTTAAGTTTTGAAGTTACACCACTTTTACAATTAACGACCCATATATGTATATGTATACACATTATACATATTCAGGAAATCTGTATACATATTTTGAACCAATTTACTTCTAATCTGACCGAGGCAGGAGGCTCATCCTTTATGTTTCTCTATTAGTTACTACTTTTCTCTGCTGTATGTCTGGTTCGAATGACTACAACTTTAACATATTTTGTGACAGTCTTTCAATTTTGAACGTGGCCGACCTAACGGTTAGGTTTCCCAATCGGATCTTTCTTAATAATTTAATCTTTCTTATTATCTCCAAGTATGTCCTCCGTCCAGCTAACATCATCATTATTTTCGCAATTTCTTTTAGTACAGCCGGTCGTTAAAATTAGCTCATCAGCTCCATAGCTCATCGTTATGACGTTTTCTTCATTCTCTCGATTCAGGGTTAGGTTAGGACAGGAAATCACGTCGCTTCCGCCTTTCTCAGTGTCGATCTCTGATAATCGGGTTGTACAGATTGATAAGATCTTGTATGCAACATATTTTCTAGTTCTAACAATAATCTTCAACTATAATACATACACAGTTTAGTTCCTACTAACTAGTTCTTATTATTATTATTATTATTATTTTTTTAGAAACGTTTCCGGGGTTCGAAGTGTTTGTTCTACGAGGAAATGCTGTCCACCGGGTACACACGGTACAAGTCGGTGGTAGACAAGTCGCGTTACATCGGGTTCAATCGCCGGGGAAGGCCGATGAAACGTCACCCGTTCCACACCGATCCTCTGAACAAGTGCCTGAACTTCATCAAACTTGACACGAAGTTCGATATAAGCGACCACAACCGGAAAGTGGCGTCCGGCAAAGGCGGCAAGCGCACCGGCATGGGGCCCAACAACAACAACAGGAGATCCGGATCTAACGGCGGCTACAGAAGACCGGCGATCGCCGCCTCCCCGGCAACGACAACGACCACTTCCACAACCACCACATCTACCACCACAACCACCACCACCACAACCACCACCACCACCTCCACTCCACCACCACCGCCACCACTGTTACCGGAAAGACACAATCGAATCAGGTTCAGACACCATCGGCGTAATAGACACCACCCTGAAACCCTTCAGTCACTAGGTCAAGACTAATAGTATTAAAAACAAAAAAAAAACAATATTATTATTATGAAAACGAAACCTCTATTGTTATTTTTTAGCGTCGTTGTATTGATTATAATTATTATTTTTATTATTACGATTATTATTATTATCATTATTAATATTATTATTTTATTATTATGTATAAGTACTCTTCCGCACGACCGGACCGGACGACGGGAACTTCGAGTATTCTCTGCTTCGTTTTATTACAGCCCGAAATTCGACCCTTACCCCGTGTTTTCATTTTTTTTGTTTTTTGTGACCGGTCTATAGCGCAAAAATCCGCTGAAAAGTGTTAACCGCTACAACATTAATAATAACGTCTAATCTTAATATTATAATACTTAAAATCCCACGCCGGTAGTGTGTATAATACATATATATCTATATATAAATATATATATATATATAACGGTACTAGCTATATTCAAGCGCTTAACCATAATAATATATAATTATTGTTTTGAAAAATATATATATTTATATAAATGTATAGATTTTTATTCGGTTCAATGGTTCCTGGGAGTGAAAACGCGGATTAGTCAATAACAATATGCAAGCGCACGTTGATAATGACATAGCGAAAGGGTCGACTTTCGAGCTGTAGTAACTCAAACTTAGCAGTATATTATTTACAAACTTTCAGTGGTTCTTTATACGTTTGATGTCGCCAGAATATTCGTTTTCTCGTTTTTTGCTCTATTTACCCGCGTATCTTGTGTATACACTTTTTTTTTTTTTAATAACATTTTGTCAGTGCCTAGAATTACGGGTTGCAAATGTTCATAATTTAAATGTATTGTGTCCTTAGAAGTATTAAAAGAAAAATACAGCAAAAACAATATTATCGTTTTTGCTTAACAGTGTTGCTCGTGGATAAAATAAAATAATAAATTAATTTGTATCACATATTACTATAGTCGGTTTGCTTTGCCGTTATTAATAAATAATATACTTTGGATTTAGGAAAACAACAAATTATTAGAGCTCTGACTGCGGCGGTATTTTCTTTTTACAATATGAAAATGAACTAAAACCATCTAAATTAGTTGCATAATATTAGTCACGCGGTGCAGTTGACGAAGATGGTTATTGAAAGGCCAAATGTATATAATTATGTATATATATTTTTTTAATTTGAAAACAATATAATTTATACCAAAGTCCGTTGGTTTTTATTCGGGCTCGAGCCTAACATTCCATTAAATATTTTTTAAAAACAATTGTATTATTTATGTTACCTACTTGCAAAATAAATAAGCGCTGAACACAAAGACCTCCATTTGAATATGTAGGAGGACATTCGGTCGACGAACGCTGCTGCCCTACACATGACACATGACTAAAATATATCGTTAGACATTCATACTTGATTTTATTATTATCGTCAACATATATCGTTTTACTTATAATTTAAATAACTCAAATATTACTGTAAGTACCTATTTGATTTGGGAATGCTTTATTAGGGTGGCCTCGGCGGCCGACGGCAGCAACAATACACTAAACATTAAATTATTTTTAATTTGTTGCTAAAATTCAAAACTACGTTTTAAATAAACAGTTATTTTGTTTAGTGTAACAGTTATGTTAAAATAATATCTAGTCAACAATTTTTTCTATTCGTACCTACATAACACGTTGATATCTGAGTATTTAAGTATTAAACGCCGTCATAATATTATATGTATGTGTGTGTGTGTGTGTGTTGTCTTCTTTTGGTAATAATGTTTTGTTAGCTGATGATGATAATATTTCACTGCTTAATAATTATTATGTTCAAGTACATAAACGATAGAAAGTAATGATAAAATTATAGTTTATAATAATGTTAAGGATATACGGAGAAACTTGGAACTTGACTCGGGTACCTATACCATTTAATAATAAACCAAAGCGTTTTGGAACAATTTTCTGTTTTATTTATTTGGAAAAACTATCCCAAAACTGTGTCGGGAGATCGTGGCTGGTGCTCCTAAAAATACACCTGGAATTTTAGGTATCTATTAATATTCTAGTACTGTTGGGAATTAACCGACCGTCTAAAATCTAAAAATTAGCCTTATTATTGATTAGATGAGTTAAGACCTCTATTTATAAATTCGTGCTTTTAATTAAATAAAATATTAGGCACATATCCTAGATTTCAGAATAGTATAATATTTTATACAAGAAGTTTTTAATTGGAACGTCAATCCAATGTACTACTTGAATCTCAACCGTTAGACGTGAGCTACATTGTTAATTTTCAAAAAAGATGGACATGCTAAAATCGGATTTATGTGTTCTCGTTTATGTTTTTTTCATAACTGTTCAAAAATAACCCAAAACTTAAAGAAAATTAACTTAATATCAAAGAAGCGAAAATGACGACCGTTCAAGTAGAACACACATATACCCACATTATAAAACATGTACTGTTTGTGAATACAGGATACCCTCTATACATTACATTTCTTATAAGTTGAACGTTTTGATTTTATTGTTTATTTTTTTTAGTTGTACATAATGTTTATAGTATCACTCCGTGTATATACACTCGGGTATTGTACTACTTAAGTGTTTCTTACTTCTCCCTCCTCTTATTCACATTCCTCTTTACAACCTTTTTTAATTTAATTTAATTTTTTTCTTTCGTACAATACATTATATTGTATTATAAATATCACATTATTTTCCTTCTTTTAGTATTCGGTTGCCGTGCTGATCGCAGTATGTAAATTTATAGCTGTATTAATTATTTTAATAATAATAATAATAATAATACTGACACTGTAAGCTATTGTAATATGCATTATATAATCTATGTGAAAAACACTGCCACCATATTATATGCTTTTATGGCGCTTTTAAAGTCGCGTTCACTTGGACCGAGACATATAAACATTATTATAACAAATCAAAATCAAAAAAAATTATTTGATTTTAATTTTCAGTATTATTATATTATATCACCTTCTTTTTTTTTAACGAGACCGTTTACTTATACGCTTAAATTATCTTATAATAATATACTGAATTTAATATATATCTTAAATATTCTAAAAATGATGATACTAGTAATAATAATAAAACAACTATGGCCTCCAATCGAGCGCTCAAGCGCGTTTACAGCCTTATAGTTAAATAAAAGTCGATTTACTGCCACAATGGGCGTTACTTTTAAGTTGTTGTGTTTGTTCAAACATGCATATTTTTTTTTTTTTGGCTTTTTTTTAATAAAATCATTTTTTTAACGCCACACCGGTCGATTTTTAATGTTGTATTTCCGTGTTTAGTATAGATAATTTATAAAACGCATATTGTTGCATCCGTTCAACACACTTTAAACGGGTTGTTCCGCCCTTAAAGTGTCCTAAACTATACCCGTGTGCGTTGTGAATGTACCGCTTAATCGGTCTGACGGCTTAATTCGCTATTTAACTATATGTGTTGGTAAAAACAATGTATTGAGTAATTGTAACATGTTTTAACCACTGTTTTCAACAATAAAAAAAAATTACTTAAAACCAACAGACGGCTTACTTATTTATTTAGTTATTATTGTTCAGTTCCACGCGGTTACAAATATTATACTTGTTAATGAGCTTTTAACTAATAAATCATTGTGGCTCGTCAATCGGATTAATATACAATTGCGACTTGAACTTTGTTATTAGCATAACAATAGTCGAATAGACTTTGGAAATGAAAATGATAAAACGAAGAAAAAAATGTCATATAAAGTGAAACCATATTTTATTCGTAAACGGTGGATTCCATTCAAAGTCGGGTCCAAAGGCTTTATTGGACATTCAAACAAGGAACGGGGAAGAAGCTAGACCCTACTATGTTTAAGTCTCAAAAATGTTGACTGTATTAAACATAAACAACGTCCAAATAGTTATAATGTAAAACAAAAAAATTTGAAAGCAAAAATATGTTAAAACATAATATTGCAATAATAAAATACAGTTAAAGTTAAGGACCAACACCTTTCTTGTTCTAAATGTATGCAGTATGACCCACACGAAAAGAGACAATGGTTCGCAGAATGATTGAACTTTAATATGTTTATTTCTAAAAAATAATATATACCTAAAAATATAAGTTATTTTTAGATCTTAGAACCTTATGTCTATAGACTTTAAATCAACGTGGTATTCTTTTTATAAGCGGTGTAATCAATACAAAAAAGAAACTCGCATATATATTACTTCAAAGTCGATTGTAATTGTTTAAATGCCGTTATTTAATTGCCAACGCAAAAAAAAATTCAATTCTGTCATTTGACGGGTCAATTTTCTTCACTATTGGGTTATTTTGGTTTTGAAATATTAAAATATTCTAAAATGATGCGTTAAAATCAATGCGTTGAGCTTTTTCTGCGTTACGAGTCTAATTTATTATAAATCACCGATCTTCTCTTTACATTGGACGCCTAATATATGTTTTTAAAAACTAATTTACCTCTGCCACTTTTTTTTTTGGCTAGTCTACAGCAAGTTTTACCTACATTGTGTCTACATTATCATAATTAATTGGTTTTATAACGTACCTATATAGTTAATTATTATAATTTGTGGACCTGTTGGCATTTAGCCAGTTTTAAAACTATACAATCCATCCTGTCAACATTTTGCGTTATTGAATAATATTCCTATCGTTTTCTAAACGAATAACTATTAGAAAAAAAAACGACCATCAGATACAATAAATTTAATATTTGCATAACCCATTACCTACTTAAAATTACAAACGCTAACATATCTCAGTTTTTTACCAACGGGTTAAATTTTTCTTTAAATAGCCGAATACATTACACATTTAATGGAATTTAAATTTCTAGTTTTAATTGAACTTAAACTATGTATTGGTGTTACCAGTCATAGTTTTTTTTTTAATTTTTATTTTGCATATGTTTTTATAATTATAATTATTTAATTTTAATTTTTTTGGCGTAAATTCACGGGACCTTCGAACTAGGCGAATGGTGAATTCCAACGGCCAAACAAGTTTACACCACTCAGGGCATTTTAATTAAAAACCCAATTTAAAAAGAAACAATTCAAATAATATCTTGTTCATTCTTTAAAGGCTAAACCAACACGTGTTCCCTATTATAATAATGCCGCAACACCTTTTTATTAGTTGCAAATAATCGAATTTGTACCTTACAAAAAACTGGATATTCAAAAATTAAAAAAAAACAAGTTTCGTTTAATGTGTTAAATGTAGAATAAACTACAGCGTTTATAGAATAAAAATTAATTTTTGCTGTTCAATTAGTATTTATTGTACATTAAAAAAAATGTTACATAAAATTAACCGTGCGTTGAGTGGAGTGGATCCAGACAAAATAAGAGTTATATGTTGCATAGTAATAATGATAATGTAACATTTCACTACGATTAATACAATAAAGCGATAACTAAAGACTTGTTATATACACTGTTAGCTTACATTAAAATAGTTTGAAAGAGTGTGTAGGTATCTAATACACCCTCCGATACCCTTTTAGTTTTAAGACCAAAGACCAAATAATGTTCTAGACACAATAAGAATATTAATATTGACGTCAATTAACATGTGATTCACTTTAAACATATTTCATTGGTTAATATAGATCACGCCATAATATTATGCTTACTAAGACAACAAGTTTTTCTCCTTTTAACAATAATAATGCATACATACTATTTAAAAAAACAATACAATATAAATTATTCATTGTTATTGCAACACAAAATCATAATTTAATGCGGTGTGTCTACTCTTGAAGTATATAAGGAGGCAATGAGAAGAAGTAGTATACGCACCGGTTTAGTATTAACAAGTTTTGAGTCTGCTTCGAGATCATCATGTTCGGGTTTCAAATTATTTAAAGTGTATTTAATAAGACTTATATTATATAATCGGTCCAAAGAGCTTTGTATGAAAAAATTATAGTAAAAATGAACATGGAAATCATTTTCAACGCAATGGTAAAGTATTTCGTTAGCGTCTAGTCCAATTTTTTAAATTATTTGCCTAAATTTAATCGACATACATAACACAATAGTGCTATTAGTACTGTTTTAATAATCATAGTTATTTTTTATTTTTATAAAAAAATAAATATATATTATTAAATTTAGTTGCCGGGTGGTCAAGTATATTATAATATAATAACAGGTCAATTTAAATAACCCCTATCCCCTCGATTTCGTTCTATAATAACCTTTTAATAAAACTACCATATTAATCTTTCAGTTCCGATTAATCTAGCAATAAGTATACTACAGCGTGTGTTATACATAATATTTAGGAAAAATTAAGTAATTTTGTTTCATCCAAAATATAGGATGTTAAACGAATTTAAGCAAATATATAATTTAGTTTTCAGTAATAATTACCGCAAACGTTATACAATATCACGAAGATTTTATAGTTTTACGTAGTCAATGGTTTTATGATTAATATATAATTTTATGACACTAATTTTTTTTTAATCTAGTTTTTATATAAATATAGCGCTATTAATAAGAATGAAGTCAATTATTTTTCAATTCGATTTCATATTATTTTATGGTAATTATTGTTAAAACAATAACCCGTAAGATGGTTATTATTTTAAAGCGCCCATGTGATATTGATCCTTATCTGATATAAAAAAATAATAATCCTTAGATCTGGGGCCTAAACTAAAAAAAAATAACTTATTACTATAAAGATACTATGTCAATGAGCAAGTGCATGATGGTAAAAGAGATATTACTCTATCCGTCACCAATAGATACCTCGATAGATTAAGTTGTTAAAACACCTGTCATACCATGTAATTGAGAAATTACTACATTGTGTGCTTTGAGATAATACTACGTAGATAAACGTTATGTTAATATACAAACGTTAATAGACTTGAATAGCTCGTATCGTGTTGTTTGATCGCGTTGTTGCGGGTATAATATATTCAATAAATAAGTAGTCACATTATGTCCAAAAATGTCTTAATTTATTAGCATATTAATAATATGCTCAAGCTAGTAGAATAGTGGCATGTATGTTTAACTTTAACTAGTGAAAAATTATCTAGAATTTAAGTAGTTTAAAGGACTTTTCGGGAATTTTGAGGACTATAAAAATTGACACGGTCTAAATAATAGATAAAAACCAGTTTTTTTTTACCAAATATTACCTCTTATGTCCCTTAACAAATAACCGACACTGGGACCTACTTAATAGGGTTTAATGTAATTTCTACAATAAAATAGTATTGAAATGAAACATAGTCCGAGTTCAGACCAAGAATGGGCGGTTTTACACTTGAACAAACTTAGTAGAGACTATCAGTGTTTTTCAGACGTTAAAGCACCGCGGTGGTGACACAATGCTTATAGCAATTTCACATGGATGTACTTATCGCGATAACCCGGCTGCTAAAGCGTTGACCCAAGATTATGGCTTTTTTCCCGCCAAACATTGTTTGCCGGTATGCGTTTTTCTTAACCTCGGTGACATTGTACGAACGAATTCCAAACGTGACTTTGCGATAAACACGGATGACTCCAAGAGGCGACACGATTTCCTTGACGTGTCCGAGTGTGAAGCCAACGTTAAGACGAAAAAAATAAAAAGCAAATAAACAATACCCGTTGGCGAAGGCGTTAAACTGGACAGTTTTTAAGTGTTTTTACCTGCGGCGTTCACATATTTTCGAAATTACTTCAATAGCAAGAGCACACCTGCTCTTCGGCGAGCATTATGTTGTGTATTTTCTCGGTTTCTAGTCCGCAGGACGCTGAATTATTGTTGTCTAGTGTGTTTACCCGTCCGGTGCATCTTTACATTTTTTTCCACCCAATAGTGTGCCAACAATAATGATACAACCCACCGCAATATATTCTAGGTTCATTCACACACACATACACAAACACTTCCCAGTACCCTTTCCAAAAGGGATTCGGAATGTGTTCTTTTTTTTTTTTTTAGCAAAACCCTCACCACACTAGAGTACATCCGGCGACAAAGCGTCTATTCATTTCTCTAAGACCCCTCTAAACGTGAGAATATTGACGTTATTTTCTTTGAAATCATATACTAGACCACCGTGTATTGATCGTGCAACGGAGTGAATTCGACACACCCAACATTTTTTCTGTGATTTGGTTCATAATATGTTAAAAATAAATGTTTTTAAAAAACATCAATGCGAAAAAAAACCGTCGAATTGGTTCCAAATTGATATGGAATATTCTTTAGACATAGTACTACCAATTTACGTTGACAAACCGAAAAAGGGGTGGAGTCTTTTTTTTTTGTTCAGGTGAAACTTTAGCATTAAAGGTCTGAAAATTAGACGGAAGGTAAATCTAAAATGTGGCTATAACGCAATTTTCTCTAATATTTATGTCTAATATTTTCATTATAATTTATATTCTTATGATATATGGATAACAACGGCAATAAATTATTATAGACAGACATCAACCCCAACCATATCCACCCTAATTTGCTTAAAAG